AACCCAGCCAGCAGTCTGACCATTCTCAAATAATTTAGGTATTGAATTTCGATAGTTAACAGTGCTTAAGGCTTTTATATATGTAGATTCGTTGCCCTGACCTGCTGCCTTATTAGTTGTAACGTCAATGCGAGATATCTTGGCACCGTTACCAACGACCTGTATTGAACCGTCTTTCGTTTGTCTGTGATAAAACTGAGTTGTCTTTGTTAAAGGCGGTAAACCCATTGACCCTAAAAGGGTATTATATACTCCGAAACAGGGATCCAAAGATGTATAACCAAACAGATTGTCAATGCGATTATAGCGAGATGGATTTCCACATACCGATAATCTGTGGCCGTTTGCGCGAATTTTAATAGTTGTGCAAAAACTACCTTCTTTCTGGACAGGAGCTTGTCTGTAGTATTTTGAATCAGTGATTTCACCATCGTCATTTAGCTCATGTTGAGAATAAATTGTCTCAGAAACCAGTGGTAAAAGGTTTTCCATTTCCTGAGTTGCTGTCAGCCAATCATAAAACATCTAGCGAAAATCCATAACAAAAAGATAATCAAGACCCACACGAACACGACAAATATAACGTGTTGAAATATGTTTCTAAGTTTCTTAGAAATTAGTTTTGATGTCAATCTAATTTTCTTAGAAATCAGGATTAAAGTTATCAGATTATTAGGTTTACAATGCTGAGAAATAATTTAGAGAAGGCGGAACCATGCCAAGCAAGCACATAGACGAGCAAACATGGCGCAAGGTGGAAATTGAATCACTGAAAGCTGTACAAGTAGCAAACAAGGTTTTTAAAGAAACCGAAATACTAAAACTTTTAATTATGAAAGGACTTAAACATGTCGAAGAGGAAGACTACATCAAGCTGGCAAAGACAAAAAACAGGTAAAAGTACGGGAGTTCATACTAAAGTTCGGGTGTAACAGACATCCGAACTTTAAATCCTGCCAACAAGTGAAATATGTTTAATTTAATGGTTCTGAAAAATCAACCAAAATGGGACTAGAGTAGACTGTTATAGTATGTCTACTCTCCAAGTTGCACGATTTTGCGATAGAAGAAACAGCTATGCCTCCCGGCG